GTGCACTCAGTGTAAAAGTAATAATGAAAAAGAATATGCCAGAAGTGGTTGAAAGTGAAGAAAAATGTGAATCAGTTTAGTCTAACACATTAAACTTTAGATATGAAATTGTACATTTAATGCCTGAATGTTAAAGCTAAATCATGTAATAAAGAGGTAATTTTAAGGTGCATCCTTGACACCAGATCTCTAGATTCTTATATAAGCAAATTCGCAACACATAAATTAAACATACAACACAACGAAAAGCAAGATGATGCATAGTTTGTTTGGAGGGAGGGAAACAGAGCAAGCGGAACATGATTTTCTTCCTCTTTTGAAATAAAAGCATTTTCAGAATAAACAAAAAATTGCAATACAATGCCCATAGTCACTGATATGAGTGTTTTGAATGAATTCAAAGAGAAAAGAATATGTTTATCAGATCTGAAACTACAGGAGACTGTGATTAATTTGTTTATTTGCTAAATACTTGCCTAGGAATGGTTTAATTGGAAAATGCAATGCTTCTCAAACTAAGAAGAGAAGACTTGATTTATAATGTTACAGCTTTGGAAGTGAATATTTCTCAGTTAGAGAATTATGGAGGTTAGAAACTACTGGGATTTCAGATCCAGTGGAAAATTAAAAAAAAAAAAAAATTGCAGAATTTAAAAAATAGCCTAAAAGTCCTACCAGGCGGTAGATACGAACTGCACATGCCTTTTAAATCAGAAAGAACAGAACTGCCTTCTAATAAAGAATTAACTTTAAAGTGTCACCACAGAATGTGCTGGAGAACAAAATATAAATTAATTTTGGATGAATATAAACACGTATTTCAGGAGTGGGAGAGGGTTACAGATGATACTGAAAGAGGTCCTTTATTATTTCACTAGCCTATCACTAAAAGTGATAGCGCAACAAAAAATTAGACCCCTATTTAATGCATCTGCAAGACAAAATGAAAAATGTTCTTTAAATAATCTGCCTAATTTGACACAGCTCATTCCTGATGTTATTAATAGATTTTGAAGTTATTCAACTGGACTTTCATTTGACATAGAAAGTGCTTTTTACAGTTGGCTACAGTGCCTGAACATTTGAGATTTTTTAGAATTTTTCTACCCTTCTGAAAATGAGAAATTTTCTAGTCATTTTAGTGTTCAGAGTCATATCAAGCCCATTTCTATTGGCAGGCATAGTTTTGCATTTCCTAGATCACATGCCAATTTGAACTAGAATTTGCTCAAAAACTTAAAATCATTTTATGTAGAAAATTGTGTCACAGGTGTTCGATATGCGAATGGACAAGAAGCATTTGTTGAAAAGGATCAATAGATTATGTCTCAAGGTTGTTTTAAGAAACTGGGAAGCAATGTAGATAGTAAATTTGTATCTAAAAATAAGATATGACAACATTCTTAGGTACTGTATGGGATTTAGATAAGGATGCAAAATGCATTTTGAAAAATTTAGTGATGAGCTAATTTTCACAAAAACAATTATATTAGCTTTGATACAGAAAATGTTTTGATCCTATTGGTTTATTGAGTATGGTAACTTTGCTCTGAAAATTACATTAAAAGAAGCCTGTAATTTGAAGTTGGGAAGCTCCTCTGCTAAATAGCCTTGTAAAAGTTTTCAAAGCTTGGCTTAATGAAACGTCTGCTTTAGAAGATGCTAAAACACCATCCTTCATAGACATAAATGAAACCAGTAAAATGCATGTTTTTGTGGATGCATGCAAAGAGGCTTATTCTGCATACATATTTTTTAGAAAAGTCACAACTCAATAAAGAATTCAATTACAGCAAAATCAAAAGTAGCTTCTATAAAGCAAAAGTTGATATCTAAACTTGAATTGTTGGTGTGTACTACTTGGGCCAGATGGCACATTCTATGCAACAAGCACTTAGCATCTCTGATATGGCCAATTTTTGTTTCAAATAGAGTGAAAGAAGTAACCCTGCGACCTAATAGTACAGTCAAAAGTCGTTAATCCGGACTCGTCGGGACTTCGGCGATTCTGGATTATAGATCATTAGTTTAAATCTGGTAAGATGGCATGCAGAAATTATAGAATTAAAAATATGAAACCGTAATTTATGAAATAAAGAACATTTATGATGTAAAGGGTATCAAAATTTACAAAAAAAAAGCTCAATATTTATTTGGTTACTTTATTAAACATGTCTTTCAATGTAAGTTGTTTAAGTTGCTTAATTTTTTATGTGATAATACTTTCTCTTTCATTCTATAAACAGACATAATTTCTTGTTCAGTTACAAAGTTCCGCTGTTCAAGTCCTATAATTGCTGTGTCTACCGACTAATTTGTCAATCGAAATTTTTTCGTTTTCAATAACCTCTGTCACTTTCTTCGCTATTGGAAGCGAATTATAATGACGAGGAATTTGATTTAAATCATATCAAAGACGGAGTACATCGAGATGCAATACTACATTTAATAAGGATTTATAAGCCAAATAAAATAAAAACATCTGCCCTGAAGATAAGGATAGTGCTGACAGATCAACTTCCAATTCATTGCGCTCCACGGCGTTAAGGATAAACAAAGTTTAGATAAACAAAGGATATGCCTTTATCCATTTTTTGAGCAGTTCCACTTTTTGTTTAATAAACTTTGAAACATACTTTCGCTTTGTAGATCCTTTACATATTAATAAATATGTATCAGAAATTCTATTTGACATAATCGAAAGTTCAAACTTACTTTTATAAAAATTGCTCTAAATGTCTGCAAAAAATAATAAGCCGGATACAATTCGAAGATTAAGGAACAATGCAATCTGCAACATTAACTGAAATAGATAATTAGATAATTTTAGCTTAGCTTATGCTGTCCGTTATACATTAAACGCACACTCGTAAACGTATTTTGTGTGCACGCGCAGAAGCATATTCGCAGCCGTAGACGCATGCACAGAAATTTTGTAGCTTTGAGGTCCGGATTATAGATCATTCTGGATTATGGGTGTCCGAATTAACGACTTTTGACTGTATTACTATCACATGATCAATTTACTATGATACTATTACTAGTCATGTGCAAGGAAAAATGAATTTAGCTAATCTCTTTTTCAAGGTTTTCTTAAACATTTATTTGATCCGAACTTGTGAAAGGACTATCTCGGCTTAGAGAATCGTCTCAATGTTGGTACCTGGGTGAAATAATAATCAATGAAACTCCTAAAATTGCTTTTAGTCAAATTTATCAATAGATCAAATGCCATGGTAGGCACAAAAATTCTCCAATTTTTATTCAAACCTTAGGTTAGTAGCTTCGATATCAAGATTTGTTAGTAATCAATCATAAGAACAGAAAACAGGGGATTTAATGTTACAATGGATTAAGGATGCTGAGATCATATATTAATAGGATGAGAAATGTAGAAGGAATGGTTTCCTCCTGAAAGAGAAATTGCATACGTATGTACATTCAAAGATAAAGGAATTATTTGCGTAAAAAGTCATATAATGAAAAAAATTTATAAACTAGAAGTTCAATATATTATTTAGAAGTTTCTTCCTCCCTCAGCAGCCTTGTGGCAGAGACTTGTTAGAACTGTTAAAGAGCTTCTGAGACGATCTTTAGGAAATGCTGTCATAACTTACGAAGAGTTAGTGGCAATAATATGCAATTGTGAAAAAGTCATAAATTCCTGATCTTCAAAAAATTTATCAGAAGACATGAAAGATCTGATTCCATTAACTCCAGCCATGTTCTTTATCAACAGACCAAATTCAAAAGTTGCAGACATCGACAAAGTTATGAATTACAAGAAAAGAACAAAACATCATGCTAAGTTAAAGATTTGAGATTATGCTTTAGCAAGAAATATATAGGGCAACTTACCCAAAGGCATTGAAAAAATTCTCAAATATATTGTATTCAAATTGGTCACATCATCCTTGTGAGAGATGATTTCAAAGTCTTTAGATTGGCATATAACCAGAGTTACTGATTTATTTCCAGGTAAAGATGGTAAAGTAACAACTGACTCGATCCAATCCTGCTCTTGAGAAACTGCAAGGACTGAAGTTTTATGTGACTGTTTTGAGTAGTTATATCAACTACTTCAAAAGGGAAGGCTATTATGCAAATGACATCATTTCAAATGTCAACTTGCACAAGTCAAAAACTGATGTTGTGTAATTAAATCGTGATTTGAATCTTTAGAATGAGGTACCAAGATGTAATTTCCTTAACAACCAGGTGTAGTCAGAAAAATGTAGGTTTTCATGTAATTAAACTCGTTTTGTTATGTGTCATACTATCCCTTCATAACAGGAGTTACCAAAGTAATGTCGAGTAGATGTTATTTACTGCGTTTCTTTTTCAGACCTGGCCTTCACTGTGAGATGTGCAACATAATAAAATGAAAAGAGCTTGTTCAATCATGTTCTAGCACCACTTAAAGTTATGACACATGGTTTTGAATCACCTTGTATAAAGCGTATATGTATGGTTCTGATTATTTTTATAACATATGCATATTTATAAGGTATAGATTACATACCTGAAAGAGAGTGATTATATAGATTTCAAACATAAGTAAAAAATGGATACTACCAAATGCATTTTGCATAAAAATACCACTTAAGAAATGTGCTTTTATTCACAGCAGTGATCAAAGTATTTACATGCTTCATATTCTTACGGGATGTAATGGTCCAGAGAGATTGCTGAGAATATATACTTAACAATGTTTCCTTTTAATTCCATTCAATGCTCTGTAATTGCATTCCTTCGATAACTTAAAATGTAAAATTCACATCTTAGTATATGTTTGAAAGAATCACAAAAGTCTTTAAGTTTTCATTAAAAATCCTAAGAAGAATTTAAAAATTAATTTTTATGAATATGTTAACAAATACCTCACAAATTAATTTTTAAAGTTCACTATGCATACATGGACCTCTAACAGGTGAAAACAGAGAAAGCAATGAGTAAACTTGGGACACAAGTTTTATAATAAAAATTATAGTACAACATACTTCTAATTGCCTTGCTGCTTCTTCAGTTCTACTTAGGAGCAGGACTTTCTGCCTTAGATTTCGAAAATGCATTTCACATAACATTGAAGCACGTTTTTTGGCTGTATCTGACTTGGCCTATAAAATATAAGAACACAAGTCAGGGAAATTTAATACAGTAATCATAAACAATTATTCTTCCATAAAAATTTTAAATAAAATCTAACAGCATGTTGCTTTAGATGGAATACAATTAACTTCAGTAATGCAATGAATGCATCCTTTTATCACAAAACAAACAGTAAAGCAACATTCTGCATTTTTCTATCGAAACCCTTTTTTGATACATCTGCAATACTTGGATCACAGCTGACTGTGATCTAAAGAGATGCCAAGCATATTATGCATTTTGTTTCTTACTAATACTTACACCAACCTAACATTATTTGCCTACTTACTCTTGCACTACTCGTGCTATTTCAAATTTTTAACTGTGTAATTGCTCAATTATAAATTCATGTATAATCTTCTATGATATTAGCCAATTGGTCATGTTAGCAGTTATCTATCATGATATACATATAATGCAGTGCTTATTAATATGAAGAAAAATATGAAACCACATAAGAAGTTGGTGAAATATGGAGTATTTTCACTGTACATCTATTCACTTTTCTGTTTGTCAGATTTAAAAGGTGGGCTATTTGGCAGATATAAGCTGAGTAATGGTGTATTTTCAGGAGGGGAGTATCAAGACTAGCATAAAGCAAACAATGAAATATTTGGAACAATATTTTATCTTCTTTACAAGACAATACAAGCCAAACAGAAATTTCAACCTGCCTTTATATTATAAAAAAAAAAAAAAAAGGTCTGGTTGATATTTAATGATAATGAGGTGACTCAATATGCATTTTACTTAACTGCTAATATAATTTTAAATAACCACAAAGGTTTACAAACTTTCAACATGCAAGGTTTCTATTTTGGTAATGACAATCAGAATACCTCTTAAATGGCAATATGTAATGCTACACCAAGTGAAGGGAAACCAATTCTGCTTCAAACCAAATAATTCTTCAATACAGTACAAAGTCCGAAATCCGTACTCATCGGGACATCGGCGATTCCAGATTTGGGGTTTTTTCTGGATATTAGATCCTCAGTTTAAATCTAATAAGATGGCATGTAGAAATTATAAAATTAAAAATATAAATTGTGATTTATGAAATAATGAAGCATTTATGATCTAAAGGGTATCAAAATTTGCAAAAAAAAAAAAAGCTTAATATGTGTTTACCTTATTAATCCTTTGCGGCGCACTATACGTTAACGTCGGAATTTCAACAAAAAAATTTGTATGCAGTTTATTTAGTTCTAACGGAGTATGCAGGTAAAATTTTGTACAAATTGCACTTACTGTTTTAATTCTGTGGCTGTTCCATGAGGTGAAACACTGCGCCGCCAGAGCTTTTAAAAGTGTGACTAAGCGAGTATTGCAGTGAAGCATGAAAATGAGTAGAAGCGTTTGTATAAGAATGAAAAAAAAACTTTGTATTATGGCTGTACACATGGTTTCCTGGATATACACAATATTCTTGAATATATACGAATAAATGAGATAAATATCTATATACACAAGTCCTATATACAAAAATATTTACAAATTTTTGGAAAGAGTTAGACATCTCCGTGCCATTTATGGAAAATTAATAATAAAAAAATTAACTAAGATTAATATTAACAATAAAGAAAAATAAGCCTATAATATATACATACACGAAAAATATCTACTCAATTATTGAAAATAAACGGGAATGAGACTACAATGCGACAGCAAAAAATTTGCGCAGGTCTAAGTAAAGATGAATCAAGCTACTAAATAAAATTCACGCCTAAAAACTACTCCAAAAAAATTTGAGATGCCAATATTAGGGCTTTCATAACACAAAACACACTTCACCCCTCAATACTGCTTTGTTTCAATTCATCCCCCCCAAAAAAACAACGGAAACAGAAAACGTAAACAACGGATGTTCTCTTTTAAACACAGATGTTCCGATTCGTAACAGCATGAGATCGCTACAGGCGCAGTGTTCCCGCTAATAGAACACCTGGTTTAATTCAATGATTCTTCGTATGGTTTTTGAATGAAAGATTCAAAAAATATAGAACAAATAATTTGGAGTACAGCCAGCAAAATTATGCCTAATTTTTTTTCCAAATAAAATTTTTATATCATTAAAAAAAGAGAGAAAATTACTTGAAAAAAAGTGGATTTTAATAACACATAATAAATGAAAATTCTGTGTCTCCTTGTGATTAGCTGCTATCTACTCTTTAAAAAGAAAATTTCAAAGTATATTATAAAGGCATTTTTATCTATTTACGGTTGAATTTAAAGGTTTCAGAAGCGATTCAATTTGGGTGTTCCATGTAGTGGAACACTGAGCCGAAAAAGGTTAAACATTTCTTTCAATGTAAGTTCTTTAAGTTGCTTCGTTTTTTTGTGCTAATACTTTCTCTTTAGACATAATCTTCTTGTTTAGTTACATTGTTGAAGTACTGTGACTGCTGTGTCAAGAACTCCAACTAACTTGTCAATTGAAATTTTTTCATTAGCTTCTCTGTTACTTTCTTCGCTATCAGCGGCATTTCCTGGATCTAGAACCATACTACAGATTTTGCCATTCATTAATTGATTGATGATTGAGAAGCATTGTTGTCAGAATGAAAAACTTCTTTTATATCATCTTCATTTATTACCACTTTTCCACACTTCTTTACAAAATCCATTAATTGGAAAATGTCAGCTTTGTTTTGTGATATCTGGAAACCTTTAAAATTAGTGGCTATCATCATCAAATTTAGCTATCCTTCACGATACATATTTGGCTATGCATCCTGAGCTTGGCGACTAACGACAAATTGTTCTGATAATTTTTATCTTGCTTCTATCGTGCACTGAGACAATTAAGCCTGAATTGTATTAGTTATTTATTATACTTATGTCTAATTCTTGCACATGCTTAAGGCTTATGAAAGTTCTGAATAAATAAATTCTCACATATACTTAAGCCTTATTGACGGCTGGTGCTAAGTATCTTACCGCCTCTGTGGGTCCTAAATTCTGAGACTCCGTATGGCGATTATGGCGCTGGTTCTGGAATTATGTGAATAATAAATCAGTTATTCTTAATTCAAATAATCCAAAACGTAATCTTTGGGTCTATGAGTATCATCAACAAAATTCATTTTTAGCATATGGAAAGAAATTTTTGGTAAATTTTTTGTCAACATTTTTTAGCACATTTAACTTAAATCTGAAATCATCGCCAAGCGTAATGTCGACATAAAAGGTTACCATACTCTTCAACTGTACCTCGTATGGTGGTGGTGTGTATTTAATTATGGCAAAGCACACTACAGCTATCTACCTAAGGAAAGAGATGGCTTCGTGGAGGACTTTCTAAGGGAAACTGGCTCCATACCTCGTACGGAGAACTTCATCATATGTCAGGCTCAGTCGGAATTCTCTGAGGATACTTGGCAAGAGCAGTAACGAATCCTCCTGCTGAGTGACAGGAAAAACACTAAAGTATCAAAGTATTATTATTCAATTACTAAAATAAAAATGTTTTGGCATCGCTACATGAGTCATTACTCAAGTTGTCACGTTTTGATAAGCATGTGGTGATGAAAGTAAAGTATAATAAATAATGATTTGCTAGGTTTGCATCAGGTCAACGATGTATCTATGTGGAATGTTTCGGCTTGAGATGTGTGTCAAAAAACAGATACGCAGCAACGGAGCCAAATTACTGATTGTACAAATTTATGCTAAAATGCTTGTAATAACTAGGTATGTTATTTAGTGTTGAAGTGAAATTAAGAATCGAGACTCTCCAGATGTTTTATTATACGCGGAGGGGAATCAAATGCGCATGCATAAAGCCTAGGAGAAAAACATTGTTGGTGGTTTTGAGGTCCGGTTTCTAGATCATTATGGATAATGGACGTCCAAATTTTGGACTTTGTACTGTACTGAAATTAAATACTTATTTAGTGATACTGAAAAAAACTTATTAAAATGTAACAGTTTCATTCTTTTAGCATTTCATATGGAATATCTGATTATGCACTAGTCTCAGTCTGTAAATAATAGTTCACAAATATTTTGGTTTCCTTTTTCTTTATAATAGAAGATTATTATCATAGCTTGTCATTATTAACCTTTTACACGCCAAACTAAGATGCGAAAGTAAAATAAATGTTGTGAAAAATCGATTTAAAACTCAAATATAAGAATTATGAAAAAAGAAAAAAATTTAAAACTTTTATTTAATGATTTATAACATGTTCCATAAATGGAACATTGGCGGGAAAGAGTTTTTTTTTACGGTTTTTGTAAAACATGATTATCGACATTCTAATTCGAAGCTTCATTTTTGTCTGCATTTTTTTCCAGCATTAGCAAGTGAATTTGTCAATATTATTCGGAATTAACATAGATTAAGCAGAAAAATAGGGAGCCTACACCTTTATAACCGTAAAGCTACTTCACCAAAATTTCTTAGAAGATATGAAGCTTCCACAGAAAAAAGCTTTCGTAATAAATTAAAACAAAAATTACATAGTTGATAAACAAGAATTTATAAAATAATTTTACATTAATTCAGGGTTCGTACACATTTCCTCTGAGCAAATGGGAACTGGATAAATTCAATTAAAAATATTATATCTATGCCTGAACGTGAGTAGGACGCATTATTATTAAACATAACTTAACATAATTATTAATATGTTTGAGAATATAATTAATTTTATGAAATTTATCAAATAGCATTAAATATTTTACACTCATAATAACTGGACATATTTGAAAGAAGATAAGTGACATTTTAGTTACATTTTACTAACAATTAGCCTTTTTTTTTTAATGTCTCGTTTTGTCACATACTTGCTCAGTCTAGAGGTTCAGTAAATAGTAAGTAGATTTTATGTCAAGCAGCATAGATTAAAATGAGCATTAAATCATAATCAGCATGATTTATAACAAAAGACTAGCTGTTGTCACCGCTCCTGCTTGCCTATAGAGAAACCTGCTGATCAGAACAAACTTGAAAGGCCTGATGTAG